ACTTAGTTTTTAAAATTAGTCAAGCAATATGAAGCATCTCCATTTACTTTTAAGTCCCTTAAATACATTGAGCACAGCTTTCTCACCACTTAAGACTGCTTTTGATACCATCCTTACACAAAGCAGAAGGGATATCTTAGTGCCTGAGCATAAAAAGAATAGGAGCATACTGCAACGCGTGTGAAGTCCATAAACGATATTAATTTTGGAACTTAAACATACAGTATATGGCTGGTCTCGGTACTTTAAAGAAAACATACACACCAGTATTCCATTTGACAAATTGACACCTCTCTTGTGCATTACCACACTATGCTCCCAAGCACCCAGACAAATAATTTCAAAATAGTAGTTTTTTATATAAAATCGTTTTTATAATTTTAACGCAGCTGCAAAAACATGTAAAATGAAACAATTTGTATATACACAGTTTCAGTTTGACCCTTATCACTTTGAAGTTTCCAAAAGTTTCTTGGACAACTGCAACTTATTTGTTAAGGGTAAATTTTTAAGGAGTTCAATTAAAAGTGATGATAATAAAAGATATCCAAAACGGTCAACACGACTTGTACATAGATCGTAGTACATTGAGTTTTAAGATTTACTTTAGCAGGATATTATTCAAGGGCAGTTAAACTCCTGTTAATGATCCTGAGTTATGATCAGAGGGTCCAGATCGCTGTTCCCAGGGGAGAAGAAAGGACGGACAGTCCTGTCAATTTCCTCTCTGAAAGTATGGATGAGGGTGTATTTTTCACTTTTGTTGGAATCTTTAGCAACATCAGCATTGTAGAAGTGTACTTTCTTCTCCTTATAGTTCACATAGATCCCAACTCTTCTGGGAACTTCTGTGTTCAGTGATGTCTCAGGGTCAGTCAGGGCCGTCAGCTTCTCATCCCAAAGACTCAGGACCCAAAACCCAGCTCCAGGGCTCAGACTCAGTTGCCCCTTCCTGCACACTGAGTCTCGGGCCACTCCCAGCTCCCAGGACTTCTTGTTTCCAACCTCCACCTCCCAGTAACACCCCCATCTCATCTCTGCTGGTAACCTGTTGCCCAGCATACAGGGGTATTCATCAAACCGCTCAGGATTGTCAGGGAGATTCTGGCGCTGCTCTGTCCACCTCAGTTCTCTGCCATCTTCTGACACCCTCAGGTAGGGGTTCATTGTGTCCTCATCCAGGGTCATTATCACTATAAAGTAGAGAGAGGGTATAAGTTTTCTCTGTCTCCACTTCAAATACAATCCACCTCTTAGAACACTTCAGTGCAATAGTGGGTTTCTCTAAACAAAGAGGTTAAAGATTGAAAATTGAGCATTATTGAGAATAGTTATACCTATAAATGATGGTACATTGTGAGCAGTAAGCTGTGCGGAAACTGTGTGTGAGGCTGAGCTGTACAAGAGCTGTTTCTTGAGAGAAAGAATGAGTGTATTGCTCTGGGCCAGAGAAAGACCCTGCTGGGGCTTGATTAAAAGATCAGGGGCTTAGGTGCAGACTAAGTCTTGTGAGCAACTGTGGGCTGTGAATAAGACAGCACACACTGTATGCTTAGCCTGAAGTCAGACGGGGATTTAAAGTCATCTGTGGGAGGACATTCGATTCAATGAATTTGAGTGCCCTGCATCGGCTGACCAAATTTGAAGAGACTAGAGTAAAACTTGCTTAAACACTCCTTCCCGTTGACAGTTTCCTTTACGTCACCTCTAGAATAAACTTGTCTGGTTTTCATGCATTATAGAAATGTAAAGAAATGTTTTCTTCGTCTGTTTCTTTTTATGATAGTCTTCATGTTTTACTGAGAACATGAAGTATGTGGATTGCTGAAGCAGCAGCATGTTCAAGAAAATGAACCAAAGATATCACTGTTCTCAGTAAGCCATGGTACACTCGTTACCAGTAGATAAGTAATCTTAAGATCACGGCTATCCTCTTCATCAAGGTTGCCAAGGTAATTTTAACCCACTCTGATGGAAACTATTCCACCCACCTAACCTTAGTTTCAATTCAGCTACATATTAATTTATACTGGATATCACATTAAATACAGTGCTGAGTGCTTCAACATAACAGAACATCCAAATGAAATTTAAATAAGAACTGAACATCTCAGTTTATATAAATAAAAAATAATAAAATTAATTAAAATGGAGAAGTTACCTTCAAAAATATGCACATGAAGGAAATCTGGAAAACATAAAATCAACAAGTTAGTTAATATATTCTTTGGTTTATAAGATTTGAATCACTTGTAGTGGGTGAACTACTGTTGTATGAAAATGTAATTGATGACTCTGTCTTCCAGAAATCTAGGTGAATTGATTTATGGAATATTTGTTATATAAAACTTTCCCAGCTGTTCAGCCTTCCTGATCTCACCACTCTTCTTTTTGAGCGCACTTGTTTTTTATTTCTTACTTAATTGGAGATTTATTTCTTCCATTTCTTTCCACAAAAGTTTCAATGCAGTCATTTGTAATTTGTTATAATTTTGAAGTAACAGAGGCCCTGTTGTTATTTAATGTTATTAATATTCCTATTTATTACTTTCAGTGTTAAAGTACATGCTATCCTTGTAAACTGTGTGTCTCGCGTTATTATTTATAAGTTATTTATTATGTGTTCTTCAAAGCTGGTTAACAAGTTTTCTAGTTAAGAATTTATTTGTAATAATTTTAATAATTTATCATTTATATATTTAATTGCTCTAAGTAGTCAAATATGGTTGTGTTGGGAGCTGATAATAATGTCTGTGCAAATCATGATCTGGAGGGACCCCTTTCCAAGATGTTGTCTAGGACCCCAAAAAGCTGGGGCTGTCCCTCATATAGCTTCATGTGCATCATTTAATATACATAATACCCTTTACATAAATAGCTTGAAAAATATGAACTTGGCATCAGTGAATTACAGTGTAGTTCAGGGGTCAGTAACCTGTTTTGTATCCCGTGCCACTTTTCCTGCTGTTAAGTTTAACATGTGCCACGTACTATCAGCTGGTTTCAACGGTTAATCATTTTACAAAAATATACTAGAAATGTATTATAAAAAAGTATTTAATTGACAAGTAGATCACAAACACACCTGTAATTAACAACCAGTTTTAATCTTTTAACTGCCAATGTACAATGCCAACAATGTTGCATATACATCGCTGAACACTTCTATTCGAGAGAGGTACGTCTCTAATTTTAGCCAAAATATCACTTTTGTTGGCAAAGCCCTCAAACACATCTTCAACGCATTATGAAAAGATGTTCATTAAAAAAATGCGCAATACTGTGTGAAATATATAGTTCCGCTGTTGCCTTACTAGAAATTTTGAGCCATTTTGAAAAACTTCAATAGCATGGAATAAACCTATTACTTTGATCCTTTGCAGCCTACGCATGCTGACGCAGCTACCCACCTGAAATATTTCTTTATATATTTGGCTCTGTCAGCAGTATCCGTATGTAACCATGATAATTCGTGTTAAAATGTCTCAAAACATTGTGTGTGCCAGCTTTCTTTGGCTGACATTTTTTGAAAGGGTTGACTTGCAACAATACCAAATGTTCAACTGAAAGCATTTTAGTCATACATATCTCACTCACGCACAAGGTTTTTTTAACAGAAAGACCACTTACAGAATACCACTTAGTCCGTGACTACAAGTTTATGTCACGGGGAAGACGCTAGATCAAACAGGACTGGAAACCAACAGTCTGGCTCTTGTCCGTCTGGTTTATGTAAGGACATGCAGCGACCGTGACGTGATTCTCATCTCTTAATTTGCTGTCACACCTCAGGCGCATCAACACTTCCACTCTGCTGGGATTTAAGTAGTCCTCTTTAGGATCAAGTATGTAGCAGATCAATCCCCACAAATCCCAATTTTTGGGTTGCTTTTTGTGCCCTACGCTAAATCTCAGCGGGTTCCACTTAGCACGCGTGCCACAGTTTGCCAGCCCCCGGACTAGAGTCAAACTCTCTCAAACTCTCTCCCCCATTGACAGTTTACTTTACCTCACCTTTAGAATAATCTTGTCTGTTTTAGTGCATATGCTAGAGAAATCGCTCTTTCATCTCTGCCTTCTCATGATAGTATTCATGTTTTACTTGGTTACAAGGCTTGAATTAAAAGTCAATTATCCAGGGCTCAGTCTGAGAACGTGAAGTGTTTGGAGTATAGAAGTAGTGGAAAGTTCAAGGAGATGAACCAAATTAATAGAGAGGATTAGAAGGAAACGAGTCTGTCGTTGAGAGAAGAGGGAAGGTGTGATCCTAGTTTCAGGATAATTTTGGTTTCAAATGTCTTTCTGTAAAAGGAGTTTTGATATCAATCTCTGAAAATGCAGATGAAGAGATCAGCAAGATTGTGGCTGTTAGAAATGAAATGGGGAACTAAGGGTTTGGAGACATCTTTGATCCTGACAGCTATGACAGTGGAGGACCAATTCTGAAAGACATATAAGAGTCTGGGTAGGTGGATCAAGCACTGTGCATTTGTCCAGGGTGTGCTTGAGGGCTATAAGACCATCATTGTGGAGAAAAATGATGTATAAGGATGAGATGTCCAAAAGTGATAAAAAACAAATTAAACATTCTGTGCCCTGAAAATGGAAATTGTTAAAAGACTTGGAGAGCACGGTCAGTGTCCTTAATATACTGTATGAAGGAAGCCCTTCAACCAGTGGTCTCATAAGGCTGTCGAGAAATAAATCACTAGTCTCGCCAACCAGGTTACACTCATTTTCCTTTATGCCAGCATCACACTACGTAAATTTCCCTACGATTTTCAGTCGTAGCCATATATATGTAATACCTTCAGTTGTGTAGTGTGACACCCCCAGAGATCCTTAACAGCCCCTACAACTCTTTGCGACGCGCTACGACAAAATCAAACTGGTCTCATTTTCTCGTAGAGAGTCGTAAGTCGTAGGATTGGGCAGTGAGCCAGATGTGTAATAATATTACACGTTATAGCGCAATACTAATTTGTTTACAATATTTGTTTTAAAGGTGTTTTATCTTTTTAACTAGTATTTTTGTAAATTTGTTCTGTATTTATAAAGAAGAATTATATTTTTGAAGATTATTTGTGGAAAACAATGGCTGTGTTACATTTTTCAAGATGTTTACGTGCTTGGTCTCCGTGTTGGTTGGCTGCCAAAATGAGGCGGCCTCGCGGTACTTTTGCGGCGCAATATGAGATTTGGACCTGTGATGAAAAGTCGTGAGGGAATTGTGTAGTCACCCCGTGCGATTCCTAGTCCTATAATTTGACACCCTCTAGTACAGAAAAGGCAGCGAGATTCAGCAACTGCAGTCGTTAAATTCGACGTGCTGTCTGACTAGAAGTCATGTCGAGTCCTGTAGTGTGATGCCAGCTTTAGTTACTATTAGCTAAGTAATCTTAGGATCCCATTCACCCACTTCGTCAAGCATGCCAAGGTGATTTAAAACAATATGACAGGGAATCTGTTACCAGACTCCCAAAACCTCTGTGTAACACAACATTTTCTGTTGTCCGCATTAAAAGCACTTAATTTCAAACAATATAATCTTGTTTTCACTGCTGGTTTTGAAGGGGTCTGCTGGATTGACCTTTCAGAATTTTTGTTATTTGGATCAAGTGTCCTCATACAGTACGTGTGTTCTGTTACAAATTGGAAGAAAAAAAAACGACATTCTCTCAGCATCCTGGATCAGCCCAGCTACAGTACTAGGACAGCAGCCCCTACTCTGCTGGAAACTGTTTCACCACACCTGATGAACCCTAGCTGTATATCAATTATATATTAATTAATATGGAAAATGTAATTAAATGCATGAGTGCTTTTTCACAACAGAATGCACAAACGCCAATGAATCTGAGCTGAACATTTCAGTTTATAAAATGAAAAAAAAAAACTATTACAAAAGAGACATTACCTTCCAAATGTTTTATCTGAAACAAACCTGGAAAACCTGGAAAATATAAAGTCATCTTGTTAGTTAATATATTCTATTGTTTATTATTAACATTACGTCATCATTCGTATCATTTCAATTAGCTAGAATCAGTGATGGAATGAGATACTACTGAGATACGATCAATTGTCTACTATGATACTGTCCATTTCAAAATGAATGATCTCTTCTCGGGTTATGTGATTTTAAGGAATGGTATTCCTAGGCCATTCATGATGGCATATAAGTTGCGAGGCACCAGATGTATATATGTAGAAGAAACATATACACATTCATCTGGAAGTTTGTCATGTTTCCTCAAGTGTATATATATGAGGTGCCGTTTAGGCCATTATTCAAACTTTACCTTTCGTACACACACAGATTGCTCCCACACTCTCCATTTTACCTCTCACACACACACAAAATGCTCTTACATTCACTAGTTTTACCTCACACATACACACAAAAGGCGCTCACATTCACTAGTTTTACCTCTAAGGTTTTATTACTTAAAGCTATGGCTTGGCACAGTGCTTGATGCGGTTGAGGTTGCTTTTTTCCTCCATCTTGTAGAGCAGTAGAAAATGAGAAAGCTTGTTGATAAATTCTCAGCCCTGTGCCATTTAGACGGACTGCCTACATTGGGCCAAAATTTGCATTTTGTGTGAATGTGAGAGGTAAAACTAGTGAATGTGAGAGCGTTTTGTGTGTATGTGAGAGGTAAAACTATTTGACTCATTATTTGAACTGTAGATGGGCTAGAGAATTTCAGTTTTTCTTAGAGTGTGAGGAGACTTGATCCAAATAATGAAAACTATTTGGCTCAAGTCTCCTCATACTATCTGTTCCAAACTAAGAAAAAAATGAAATTCTCTAGCCCATCTACAGTACTGAGACAGAAGAGCCTACTTTGGTGGAAACTATTTCACTCCACCTGATAAACCTTGTTTTATATCACTTATATATTAAATTATACTGGAAATTAATGTCCAAACAACATTTGGATTTGAATGTGACATCTCAGTTTAAAAAAAGAGAGAGAAATTACCTTCAAAACGTTGTATCTGATGGAAACCTGGAAAATATAAACTCATGAGTTAGTTAATATGTTCTATTGTTTATTAACAATATTAACGTTTTCATTTGAATCATTTAGATTAGCTAGAATCAATCAGATTCTAATAAGCATAATAATTTGATTACTATAACACTGGACATTTCAAAATGAATGATTAGGCAAGGAACTGTTCTCAGGATAGATGATTTTAAAGAATAGTGTTCCTACATTAGTCCTTATTAGTCAGTTCATGATGGAATATAAGTTGTGAGACACGAAACATACAGTATATACCTGTAAGGAACAAACATCATTCTCTGCATGTGTGCATGTATGTGGCTATAGGTATTACTGCACATAAACTATACATTAAACCAAATAAAAGCTTTTTATCTGAAGCCCTCTGAGAAAGAAATATAAAGTTCTCAAATTTCCAGAAATGTAGGTATAATGTATAAACAAACATATCTGTGTTTTCCCGAATTCACTACTCTAATGCTCTACTCTCTGGGGTATCTAAATCTACATTGAAAAAACTAAGGTATGTCCAAAATTCAGCAGCCAGAATCCTGACCAGGTCCAGTGCAAGTGTTCACATTACTCCTATCCTGGACCTTGCACTGGCTTCCTGTCAAATTCCATGTGGACTTTAAAAGGACAACCAATGAGATCAGATCAAGAGAGAACAGAAAAAAAGAATAGACAGAGAAAGAGAGGAGACAGAACATAAAGCATGTGCCAGGTGAGAGGTTCTTTTCTGAGAAAAAAACCTTTCTGAGGAAAGACCTGAATGAAACTATTTTTTTTAACCTTGCTAAGTGAGCCTGCTATTCTGTAGGTTTTGGGGAATTTTGATTTCCTAAAGTAAAGAATCTCTCTGAGTGCATTTTAGAATAATGACCTTTTTAGGATATGTTCCCATTTATTTTGTGACATCTGAGTTGGCAGAGAGAATGGTTTAACTGCAGGTTATATTCTATTTAGTTTATTACACAAATTCTCTTTTCTTTGGCCTCTGTAGGCATTATTGAAAAGTCAAGTACTTGGTAGCAGTTTGGGGGTTTTCTGGGTAGTCTAGACATTGTCACGCCCTCATCCAACCAGATTCCCACACGGAAGCGCTCTCATGCTAATTACACTCCAGCCCTGAGCACTTCTTCCAAACGACTGTCAATCCCTGTTCCCTGTCAATCAACCAACCACGACACCACCTGTCAGCGCACCTTCCTCCTCTCACAATATTTAAACCCTCTAAAACCCTCTGTTCTTCGTTTGGTATTGGTCGCCCCTTCAGAGCTCCTACCTTGCTGTCCTTTCCAAATCTTCTACGCGCTTTTGGATAAGAACTACGGACCTCGCCCTTGACCATGTTTCTCGCCTAGCCCTCTCTTGCATTGGAAGCTTCTGGGTCTTTTCCCTTTGTCTCCTGACCACTGAGGTACCGCACTGGGTTCATCTGTCTATCGTCTGCTGATCATTCGTGACAGACATACAGTAGGTCTCTGAAATGCCTTGTCTGTAAACTTGTAAACAGAGAAACTTGTGTGCTGTATGTTTGTTGTATGTAGTGTGTGTCACTATCTTTGTTAATAAATATGTGTTTATCCAGGTGTGCCTCCAATGCTGTGCCAGAGAACAAACAATTCACTTGCCTCTAAACTATACCAACCGCTCGGGTATATTCTTGGCAGAAATCTTTACAAGCAGTTATTTCCTGATTTTCTCCATTTTCGTAACCCCTCATTTGTTTCAATAAGTATGTATGACTAAAGGTATTATTCACCTTGTGTTCTTTAGATATTTTAGTATACCTCAATTTAGATCATTTAATATAATACATACATTATACTCATAGCTTCAAAAATACAAACCTGGCATTAAGGAAGGAAAGTGTAGTTCCTGCAGTCTAATTAAGTCACTAGTTGTGTGTTGTGTATTCTGATAGACTTCAGCTGTCCTTTTAGATATGTGTTCTTTTTACATCTTAGTTTCCAGATTGAACACATAGTGAATCTTTTCACTTATTTAATAAAATACAATATCAAGATGTTGTATAAACATACGAATACTTTTTAAATACATTCCAAATCATATTTCTAATCGTGAAAAAAGCATCTGTAAAGATTGCCTCCCAAAGACCAACCCCTAGCAAGCCGGGAGCAGATTATTATTATTGCTCAAGTAAATAAAATGGAGAAATAAATGGCTGGATAATGGAAAATGGACAGGAAAGGGCTGGAAAAGTACAACAAGAGCATTTAAAACATGTGTGGACATAAAGAACCTAAAATCACCGATTTCATGAAGAGGTGGAAAATATAAGTAATGGATATTTCAGACTGTAGGCAAAAATGATCTGGTATAAAATACATTTCTTCAGATTATGTTCTCATATGGAGACGTATGAACACTAATCTCTCATCCTAGCGTTAATCCCGCATCAGCAGGTCCGCTTGTCGGCACGCCTGTCTCCATTTGGTGGTTTGAACCAAATCTTTGAGCTGACGTTGCCATTAACTGCGACCGAGAAGACTCCAACCGGCGCGTCGCTCCGCCTGCCGTCGGAGTGGGAGGGGAGGAGAACAAAGTAATGTAGCCAATTCATAAAGGGGGATTATTAGGAGGCATGGGAAATTTTTCCAGGACGCCGGGGTACACCCCTACTCTTTTCGAGAGACGCCCTAGGATTTTTAATGACCACAGAGAGTCAGGACCTCGGTTTTACATCTCATCCGAAAGATGGCACCTGTTTTACGGTATAGTGTCCCCATCACCATACTGGGGCATTAGGACCCACATGGACTGCAGGGTGAGTGCTCCCTACTGGCCCCACTAACACCTCTTCCAGCAGCAACCTTAGTTTTTCCCAGGAGGTCTTCCATCCAGGTACTGACCAGGCTCACACCTGCTGAGCTCCAGTGGGGCTGCCAGTTGTAAGTTGCACACCACTAGGCTGCTGGCTAGTGGTGTGAACACTAACACAAACACTAAACACTAAACACTTAACACTAACACTAAACACTAAACACTAAACACTAGAGCAGCACATGGTGTGGGTTTCATCTTGCATCCAGATACTGTATAGCAGCAAATGTCTTGGAAGCTGAATATATTTCAGAGAGAATTATTAAGATTCTAACTATATCAAAGTTTATGCACCATGTAATGTAAGACCAGACAAAAATACAGTACAGTACAATACAGTACAGAAATACTGCCAATCAAAAAGCCACTGAGAACACATAGACAGTGGGCCACACAGGGCCTTCCAGATGGCAGCTGGCCTATAGTTGTTTCTCCCTGCGACACGTCATGGTATTGAAGAAAGATATAAGATGTGAAAAAAGGGTTAACTGATTATCTTTCTGTACAAAGACATCTTGTGATACAAGACATCTCATGCTTAGGCACCTTTGAGTTATGGTAGGGATGGGAGTTAATTGATATGAACTTTCAAGTGCAAGATAAAGACCCCCCCCTAACTAAGAAAAGATAAAACCGACCATTCAAAGTGGTCAAGGTCTTGGGAATGTCTAAACACAGGTGCCCCCCCCATTACCATGGTAACAATTTGCGTCAGAAGCAGCTGAAGTTTGCTCTATAAACTGGAAGTTTTGTACCTATATTTCGAACAATACTTTGGTCTTATTGTTCCTTGCATGTAATAAACTCAGTTGTTTAAACTTCATCTCAGGTTCTAGAACTTATTTGGCTGTTACTGCAGTATCTAGTCATCTATTATTCCCTTCCATGATGAAGTCTAACCAAACAGACAGTGCGCCAGTGTACCATTTGTTGGTCGGGTTGATATGCTGGTGTTGGCAAGAAACGAAAGAGTAGAAAATAGAAACTCAAATAGAAACCATGGACACGTAAAAGCATAAAGCATGAGGCCAAGTAACCGACTTCTATACAAAATGAAAAGAATACATTCTGCAAACTCTCCTAGTAAAGCCACTAAACTGTAAATATTTCAATACTTACAGAGCTCCTCTTGCTTTTCTTTCAAATTTTCTATGACAAGGTTTGCTCTGCCTGCACATAGACATTTACAGTCAATAACACGATATAACAGGGGCTTTAAATAACTAAAAAAGGAAGAGTTATTTAGTTATTGTTGAATGACAAAATTCATCACAATGTGAGCGATGTCAAACAGAAACAGGTGGAATGTGCATAAACCTCTTTGTGTTTCAAAACAAGGATTGTGAAAATGTTTCATTTACTCTCCCAGACCACTAAATATATGTATATACTGTAGTCTCTATATACTGTATGTGACTATGTGAATATGTCTGTAAGTCTAGCATGTTATCTGTATTCTCAGAGGCTATTCAGGGGAAACAAGCTGACAGGAGAAAGATGAAATTGTCCTCTTCTGTGAGAGAAATCATCTGAGCTGGAGACAGAGAATGACTCTTGGGGAGACCTCGAGGAAGACAATGTATGGGGACAACACAGACACACTGCGCACATTGTGCTGACTGCTGCTTTTTTCAAGCCAACCAGTGAGGTAAGAGAACTCTGATGAGAGAAATCTCCATTAATAGAAGATCACCATTGTTGCAGATTATGGGGATATTTCCTGCTCAGTAAGTCAATGCAGAAGTGTTGTTTTTCTGAGTGGACAATACAAGACGTGACAGTGCTGGGAATACAATGGTGTGCCTTCAAAAAAACAATCTAGATAAAACCAGAACTTTTTCCTGTATGTTTTTTTCTCCTAACCTCCTTTTCCTCAAATGGTACATATACAGTATGGGTCAAACATGCAAATCAATAGGAGACAACAGTAACTGGACAACACTGATTCTTAACATTCGTGCTGTAACTTTTGCAAATGCACAGTGTTCATCTGTACCGCTATTTGTAATATGGGCTTTATGTAATGTTTGAATGCTGGGAAACTACAATCAGTTCACGAAGAGACCATGTTGCTAAATGACCACTGTTTGAAAGTCCATTGAGTGATCGAGCAATAAAGACTTGACTGTACATAGCTGTTCCTGTCGAGATTAACAGAACACTACACCCTCCTGAGTGAGATGATGAGTGCTTAACTAAAAAAAAAACAATTATATCTGCTCTTATGCCTGTAAAACTACACTATTAAATGCAAAGGAACAAGTAATAGGTTTATTCCATGCTGAAAAAAAGAAGAAAGAGAACACAATGTTTCGGCCGTGGAGCCTTCTTCAGGTGTGACACCTGACACCTGAAGAAGGCTCCATGGCCGAAACGTTGTGTTCTCTTTCTTCTTTTTTTCAGCATGGAATAAACCTATAACTTGTTCCTTTGCAGCCTACGCATGCTGATGCAGCTACCCACCTGAACTACTACACTATTAAATGATAACATACTTCAAAGACAGAAAATAGAGCAGTACTTACTGATCTCATCACGCAGCTCTTTATTCCATTGTTCAAGCGCCGCTATTTTCTCTACAAATAAAGATAACAGTAGATAACCACAGAGCAAAGGTCCCAATAATGCAGTAGCATATCTATAAGATAAGATCACTTTATTAGCCATATACAATTTCTTGCATTAGAAATGTCTTTTCAGAGACAGGGAGAGAGAAGCTGGGGGTCAGAGCACAGGGTCAGTCACTTATACAGCACCCCTGGAGCAGCTGGGGTTAAGGGTCTTGCTGAGGGGCCCAACTGAGTAGGATTCCTCTACTGGCCACAGGATTTGAACCGGCAATGTTCCAGCCACAGGCACAGAGCCTTACCACAGTGCCATGCCTTCACCCCAGTCTGTGTGAAGCTGAAGGAACCTTTGGCTTCTTCTGAGTTAACAATGAAGTCCTCACTTTAGACTTTAATGAAGTCTTGAAGAATTGTTTTTTTGTTTTGGACACTGAGGGCCAGACAAGGACAACTGAATGGAGAAGTAATTCATGTATCCCACACTCAGGTTTAGCAACATGAAGGGAACAGGGGTCTTGGTTTATTGCCAGGGCTGACCTGAACTAACTGCCAGACTCTCTGACCTTGTTTATGCCTTATTAACCAACAAACTCTTACTGACCTATCATAGAAACGCACTTCTCAGTATGAAACATTTTGCTCATCTTCAAGAATAAAAGCCTGTTGTTCTGTTTGAAAAATCGAGTGAGAGACAAGCTTAACCTCTTAAGTTTGTCTATCCTCCTTTCTTTATTTCAATAAAAAATAGATTACTAAATAAAAAAATATGTTTACTCAGAATCAAATGTGTGTGTTTTTTTTTTGTGGGGTCTAACAAAGCAAAATGCTGAGGGCCTGAATACACTGTACAGACAGGGAGCTTTTATGCACAATCTCGGAAGTGCAAGATTAGAATTTGACCATCACACAAAATTCTGTTCACTAACACCATTTGTTGTTTTGCAGAATTTATATTGGGCACATTTAGAATATTATGCAATACACAGATACACGTGTGAAGGACCAAAAGAGATTAAGATTGAGCCATTCTGCCCCTATATCTCCTCGCAGTGGAGGCAGGATAGTGATGCCACATTCCTTCCTGACTTATCGTTCAGTATTATATAAGACAGGGCCAACTTATTACCCCAGTGCAGAGGCCAGTGGATGGAGGAAAGACTGTAATGCTCCTCTTACTGTTAGACAGCTCTAGACATCACTCTTTCACATCTGGCCAGAGAATATTTTTAACTGTATGTTGAAGGACGAATGGTGCTTCTGGGTGATGTTGCCCACGACAGTACCATTCCAGCAGCAAAACTATTGTTCTGTACAGATCTAGTCTGGGACTCATCAGCCTCTTGTTGAAATTCCGTGTCAGGACGTCTGTGCCTCTCAAGATTGTGAATACATACAGAACTTACTTTTTTGCTCAGTGTTGTCTACTTCATCCATGTTGTGCCTTTTGTGCCTCTTAGGTGTTGTTTGAAACTCTTGGCCCTTTTGGTCTTTTTTGGCTGGAAATATGTAGACAGCAGTAGTTAATGATGATATTGAAGTGAAGTGTATTATTAATACCAGTGTCATTCAATTGAATCCTCTGGCTCATTCAGTTCTCCTTGACTGACAGAAGAATACAGACAGCAGTAGTTGTTGTATCCTGGCATTAGAACCACTGTCCGTCCAGACATACAAACTCACCATCTGTTTTCAGAGCTAGGCCTGTTTCACCCATTTGGTGTGTTTGGTACTCTTTTCCTAAATGTGAACATAACCACTGAATGTGAATTTGAAGTGATGTAAAGTGTATTATTAACACACAGTACTGTACCTACCAGTGTCATTCACTTGATCCTTTTGGCCCATTTGTTTTTTCTTGACTGAAAGAAAGAATATAGACAGAAGTAGTTAATGTTGAGGTAGTGTGAAGGACTTGTAATTTATCTCAGATCAATATTATCGTAGCTACGTATTGGCAGAGCAATACCAACAACAAAACTAATGTTCTGCACAGATCTTGATTGGGAATCAACAGCATCTTGTTGTATCCTGGCATTAGAACCACTGTCCCTCTCCAGATATGAACTCACCATCTGTTTTCAGAGTTAGGTCTGTTTCATCCACTTGGTGGTGTGTTTGGTGCTCGTTCCCTAAATGTGAACATAAACACTGAATGTGAATTTGGAGTGAAGTAAAGTGTATTATTAATAACACACAGTACTGTACCTACCAGTGTCATTCACTTCAGTCTTTTGGCCCATTTGGTTTTCCTTGACTGAAAGTGAATACAGACAGCAGTAGTTAATGTCGAGTCATGTGTAAAGCTTCTGTTGTATCTAATAGAAATGGCTTTGTCCAGTGACGCTGAACAAATTTAATAGGATTTGCAATTTAAGGATAGTAATGGACATTTGAACAAAGGGGTACAAGAAAAATAAGTTCACTTGGTTTACACTTTTCATGTTAGATGCTAAAAAAAAGGAGGATGCAAATGGGGGATGCAAACAACAACCTAGTGTTATGTACAGTACGTTTAATGGTTATTTGTATAGTCTGTAACTTTCCTAGTGTTAGTAGCAGCGACACGTGGATGAAAGAGTCAGTCTACACATCCAATGCACCATCAGAAAGACTGCCATACCTGTTGAGGGAACCCAGAGCCTACTCTGTCATGGCAACCCTAGGCTAATCATATCCATGGCAACCCAAGGCCTATCCTGTCCATGGTGAGCCACAGCCTGTGCTATCTAGGATAATCCAAGGTCTATCCCAGAATCATAAGGTGCAAAACAATCAAACATAAAGACTTTACATGTAAATTCACTACTATAATTTACTATAATCACCTGGCTAAACAACACAGTTAAGGCACGTTTCTCAGATGAACAATATTGTGATTATCAAGGTCATAAATATACCTCGTTGTGTCTTTCCTAAACAGCACAGGCAAACCAAAAGGGAAGAAACTGCGGTAAAGACAAGGCTCACTGCAAATCCCATTCCAGCTGGCAGTAACCAGGAGGGCACACCTTCTCCAGACTGAATACCTGGACAATTAAAAGGAACAGAAATGAGCTGAGTAAAACAGTCCTGGGGTCAATAATATGTCAATCATTACATCCCGTACTGTGACTGAGACCCTCATTCTGATTAAAACATCAAAGTTCAACCACAACCCCATGATGATATTATAACATTAAAGAGTGCATCATTAAAGAAAATTGTTTTTCAGAAAACATGTACTCATAATGTTTATTGACTAACTTTACTTAGGGATTTACTTCTGTTTACCTTTTCTTTTGTGTTCTATTATGTATTTTTGTTGACAACAGAACTAGGTACTACTACATTAAAATTCTGAGCACAGATTGCCAGGCAGCACTTAGTAAGGTGTGTTTGCTGCTTATGTTGGATTTAGGAAATAATGACATAATAGAAAAGTAGTATGTGTCATTCCCACAGTGGCACTTGGTTAACAAAGAAGGTTCCTGTTACAATCTTGTGAATCCATTTCTCTGTGTTTCGTTTTTATCACTAAAATGAGCCTATGAACAAGCCAGGAAGAACTTCTTACCTCTGAAATTTTCAAAATAATCTGTCAAACTTTTCAACTGCCAGTATGCTGCAATACTTTCTGGCAAGCCTGAAAAAAGAGCATAACATCCATCATGTAATGAACTCTTTTGAAGCAAAAGGTATCCAGTGATTTATGGCCTCATACTACAGGATCATACAATTCAGTAATTCAGTCAAACTGGAATTGACCAGCCACCAACACGTCTGACCAGAGCCACAAGGTGGCAGAATTGAGGAAATTCCTGTATTCTCAATTAATCAAATGAGAAAAAGGCGTGCAGCTCTGAAAACACTATAAATCAAGCTTGGATCAGGTTGATAATGTGGAAGCCGGAACAGTGAAAGTGAGGAAGGTGATATGAGAACTGTGGTGCAGTAAGAATCTGTGAAAGAGAAGTGTGGAGTGTGAATTTGGACAGTTAAGGACTGTGGACTGCTAAAGAAGAGTGAATATTGGATTAAGGACTGTGGTTGCTAATGATTTATTTTCAGAACTGTGAACAACATTCCATCACCTCAGGCTAACAAACCAGGACATACATTTTTAATAAACAGTCTTAATATATTAAGAGGGATCGGTCAATGCTGTTTAAAGAAGGATATCTTTCCCTTATCTAGAACTTATCCCCATAAAATCCTTACTTTGGGGAGACTAGTGGCATGCTTGTCTTCTATGCAATTAGTTATTATTTACCTTGTGTAGAAGAGTGGAAGTGCAAGATTAGAATTTGACCTCCACCTGAGCTTCTG